GATTGTCATTTTGATAACGTCATCCTACTTTTGGTTGTTTTCGGTATTTTCTGTCTCACTTAATAATAAAATGTTGAAATTACATCACTTGACTCATTATACTAGGAAAGTACTTAACTATGTTAGCATTTGAAACCTCAACGTATACTGGACTAACATAATTCAGCGAGACTTTTTAATTACTCATTTGATTTCTATTATAATATCTATACATAAAAATTATGGGTTTATTCAACTTCAATATATAAGTATAATCAAAAACAAGGTGAGGTGACGATTATAGCCTGGTGGTAGAACGTTCGACTGCCATGTCGTGAGTTTCATCCCTGGGCGTCGTTATTGGGAAGTCAGTGCCTTCTATCTAATATCCTGACAACCGGTCTAACCATACGAATATCGGTATCCCTTTGGGTTACGAAGGTTAGATGGCAGTCGATCCGTAGAAAAATGATATTCAGTTAATAACCGGTTAGACCAGCGGCCGACCTTACGAAATGTGGAATCAATAAAGGCTAGAAAGAAGCAGAAGAATCATAAACACAAACAACTCTTTTTATATAATTACAATGTATTTTTCTTCGCTACAATTAGGTAGGAACATATTTTGAACATTATTTAGCCTTAGTAAAGAGTAAAGATACAAGAACAAATCAACAAAAACCAATTATCAATCTTGTCTCATTAAATTTACAGAAAAAGAAACAATAAACAATCAATAAAATAAGAAACTAATGTAGATACTTCAACTAAATATAGTAACTTACGTTAAACAATATTCAAAACAGGAAGATTTTAGAACTTTTAGATATTTATGTTATTCGTTCCTAGGCACTTCTAATCCTCAATAAACAGCTGTAAGGTTTAACAAAATAAATGAAAATCTTAAAGGTTTAATAAATTAAAAGTCACTGTCTGAATCGCTGTCATCAGCTATGTGAGAGCCATTAGGGTTAGTTGAAATCAAATTATTAAAAAATAAATGATACTCCTAGATAATGATAGGCTAGCGTCTTACAAAGATCCATCAAGTCTTTGTGCTTATTTGGTCAATAGGAATGGGTGTCTGATAAGTTAAAGAAATATTATCTATATCAATATACAACTCTCCTCGATTTCGTGTAGCTTTAGGTTTCTTTACATAACCTAGTGATGACCAAGGTGATGCTTACAAGTAGATACTTGTAAGCATCACCTTGGTAACTCGTTTTATAGAATACCCTAAATGCTGCTTTAACTACTACTTCCGTTACTTTATTCCAAGGCATTTTAGATCCATCATTAGTAGTTGTCCAGTTGTTTATAGGTATTAGCTTTGATTGGAAGTATTTTATTAAATGCTGATACACTTCTATTGAATTTGTATGACTTTTCATCGGATTTGGTATACGATTGATCAGTTGTACAAAGCATTTTATCTTTTGTCTGCATTTCAATTAAAGCGCGCATACTCTCGCTTAGTTTTGAGTGTGACCCACTAGCAGAAAGCGATGGCTAATATCGTACTTAACTTTGAACTAGCTAACATAAACACTAAGAAAACAATTCTGTTTCTAGTTTGGCCTCCACAGTTGTCTGACCAGAACCGGTAATCTTTGACAACTTCACCCACCGTATCATTTATAAACTGAAAAACACAGCTGGAAACTTCTTTTGCACTTCTCTTTGTTGTCCTCTTTGTTGCTCTCAAGATATTTTATACTTGATTTTTTGAGAGTGTAATGTGATCCTACTGTGGAAAATACCTCAACGTAATCTACAACACTGGGAACGACATCTTCATTGATAATCTTTAGATAATTACTTTGCCTACCACGCTGATCTGTTTCAATAAATCTATCTCCTTTATCGGACTTTCCTAAAGCCGTATAAACAAAATTAAAACCAATAAAAAGGGTTCTTAAGAACATAGTTAAACTACGCAGGGCAACAGTACTGCAAAAAGAAGGAAAACTTGAAACAAACCCTATACCAACCTGTCTCGCCAGCGTGGTATAGTAGGCCAAAACCTCATTTCTAAGGAGAGGCCTATGTCCAGCAGTGAACTGATAAAGGCTGTTGATGAAGAACATAGTTTTGCAAATATTATTATATTTTGGTACTCTCAATTTTATCCCCTTAACTGCTTGAAGGGTAATAAAAAATAGCGTGAGGACGTTTTGAATTATCTTTATCCAGTGTTTATATTTCTTTTTAGCTCTTACAGCATACCTTGCCAAAAAATTGTCTTGTGTGGTCTCCAATACTCCAAAACATGTCAAAATTCTTTGCCGAATATCTTCTGTTAATTTCCCATTACATTTTTGCCAATAATTTACGGGGCAAGAAGTTTTTATAACTCTTATACCATGTACTCTTCCGTTTCTTCTGACATCTTCCAACCCTCTATTAACATTATATTTCCTCTCCCGATCCTACCATTTTATAAAAACGTTCCCTTAGCTTTCCTTTATCTTTTTTAGCAATTGAAAGCCGCCTACAACGTATGACGTTCTTTATTAATTACGTATTAATTACCTAGAGCATTTTCTATGACTGATGGCAATCGAACTTCTTTTTGAATTTCGATAAACGAGCAAGGAATATTATAATCAGGGAATAATATTATGGAAGCGTTGGAAGGGATATTCTACAATACATCTATGCTATCATTCAAATCAATTTCATCAGTATTGACAGCTCCTCTTCTGTAAAATTTGTATCAGGTGGCAAAGGAAACTCTAAAACAAACAATAATTTAAATTAAAAACACAAGAATTCATATTTTTGTGTTGAACATGCCAATAACAAGTAACAAAATATATAACAGATAAAAAAATGTGTATTATAACACAATTAATACAAAAATATCAAAAGTTTAATTAGTATATTATTATAGCCAGATGAGTCAAGTGTCTTCTTTATAACGTTATTTCGCCGTATACTATTGTAACTAAAGTTGTATCAGTATACGGCGTACTAAGCAACATGAACAACAATTATCAAACAGAAATGACAAAATCACACTAATACACGTAAAATAAAGATAACTTACTATTTTCATCCCTGTTTTGCATTGTATCACCGATTCCGGAGTTATTTTATTGTTTTATTGGTATTATTCACATTGTCGTTGAGTAAATTACAAAAAAATCACTCCCCCCACACGTCCGGCGTACACTGGTACGACATCATTTGGATCAGTATACAATGTACGATTTTAACTGATGTTCAAATTGATTTAGTATACGTGAAAATATCTCGGTAATTCTTGTTCTTTTTTATTTATTTTTAACACTAACATCAAGATCATGGTTTAGTATGTCCGTTTATGTAAAAATATTAAAATACCTAAATTTGTTAGATGACTCAGTATACTTAGGAGGTATCGGTATAATAAGTACGTATTTACAAAAAAAAGTATATATGTATTTATATCACTTGTCTAGTACCCATAGTACGAGCTCTGCTTAGTTTGGGACTAGATGGCGTTGTGTGAATGTGGTACAATATTATTATTATTATTATTTACTATAATGATCTATCTTAACCTAAGCTTAATATAGTATTTAATATACATTGGTTACTATGAATTTTTTCTTGAAAAATAATTATATTGAAGAGACGTAGGTCAGGACCTAGGTCGTTGACTTGATACACGTCATATATTCTACACACATACTAATGCACATTAACAAACAAACTTACTTTTGCATTGATAATACCTACAAATATGTGTATGTTTACATATATTACTTAAGATACATAACTATTATAGTTCTAATTTGATTCTTATTGTGTGATAATGACCTTTCCTCTATTTTATACATACTTATTAACGAATGCGATAAAGATCAAAATATGCATAACATCGTGTAATATCAACCTTCAAATCAATGAACCTGAGCTTATTATAGAATAATAAATTATCTGCGGCCAAAACCGCCTTTCTAAGGAGAGGCCCATATCCAGCCAGTAGATTAATAAAGGCTGTTGATGATAATGATGATGGAGAAATTAAAATTCACTTTCTTGAAACTTTTATGGCACTAAAAAAGAAGACAAAAAAAATGCCCAGTTTATAAAAGACGGAGTTCTGAGATATAAATTTTTTTTAAAGTTGCCTAATTGTAAACCCCATCTTTTTGTTTTTTAAGACGGTTAAAAGTGTACTAATATCAGTCGATTTATTCAAACAATTAAATTACGCGGAATCAAATTTCTAAGTGACGTAATCAGTTTTACTTTCTAAATTTACTCTAAGATAAATATATATCTAATATGTCTTAGTATTAAAGATAATAACCATAAACATTTATTCCATAAATGAGATGATAACAACTATTTTACTTTTTAAATAGATTGTTTTCTTTAATTTTTTTTTTTTTTGGAACTGAAAATAATGGGTATACATTTGAGTTTTAAATATACGTTATGTACTAGTTTTTTTTTACTTATTATATAGTGTAAAATATTGTTATTTAAACAAGACATTACCTAAAGCAAATTTAAGAAATGATTTATATGGACTTATGGTTTCGTTTTTTATTACATGCACGATTTAACTCACGTTCACTAGCTAGGCCTGTGCTACAATGCTTTTAGATTATTGATGCTTTAAAATCTATGCTAAAAGACCTTAACAAATAAGACCTAAGATTTAAGACCCTAATTAATTTCAGTTATTTCACGAAACAACAGTAAAGAAAATTTATTATTATAAATATATGATTATCTTTTACGTTTAAGGTTGTACATTTTCTAAGTTGATTGTAGACATCGTGGGTAGCACTCGTATTTCTTTTATTTATGTATAGAGCAATTGTAAAAATTGTCACCTTGAACTCTATTATAATCCATAATTTTACGTAATTGGTGTATCATTATCAAACTACCGTATTCTTGCGTGAGACTGGCGCGCGACGTCATCTCACCGGTATACTCATATAAAAGTGGAAGGCTCCGCTCTTCGGCATCAGTTGTGTGTGGTCGTGCAGTCGGGGCAAACCTTATTCAAACGGAAGATGATCGCTAGAGTAAGTGCATCCAGTGTTACTAAAGTTTACAGAAAAAATAATGTTAGAATATAAACCAAGAAATCCATTTTCTTTTACAAACACTGATACTCTTACAGTACCGAACAAGTGCAAGTGGAGTTCCTAGTGCTTTGTTTTTTTGTATCTCTCCCTATACAATTTAAATGAAGCATAAACATTTTTCTAGGCTTTTTTCTGTTTCTCTATCCTACCGTTATCCTTAATATTTCTAGCTATATATATAAAAGTTAGGATTCTAGCTTTAACTTGAAAAGTGGATATCTATAACACCCTGCTAGTACACACACCAGGGTTTAGTTGTGAGTGGTTATAAACACCGCCTATACATAATAAAAAAAAACAACTCAATTGAATGCTACATTTTTCAATAACCTTGCGTATCAACTAGTTTACCATTAGTTACTCTGCTTCATTTATATGAACTTCTATGATGTATAGTTTGTCTTTTAAAAGAAAATATTTTTGACCGTCTAAAAAGTTCCAATCATTATAGATTTTTATATTATTTAAAATGGGCCAAATATTTGCTTTCAATGTATACGGTTGTATGAACTCAAATTACTTACTTCAAGCCTGTAAGCCTGTCGCAAGTCGTAGTTAAACCGCAATAGGAAATTACTACCCCGACGACGTCTTAAATGTATGCTTCGATACGTTATATTGGTCTTCTACATCTAAAAATAGTCCACAATTTTAAGTGTCTTGCAGTTTTTCAAAGCAATTTTCAAAAGTAGTTTCATATTGTCATATATGATGCAAATAATAATTATCTAAGATATAGTTTATTTTGTAATTAAATAATTATTTAAAAGTAGTTCTATCTTTTTTATATTAGGTGATCGTATTTTTTGTAACGTTATTTTTTTGTCAGTGAAAACATTATAATTTAAAATCGAAAACACACGTGTACGCTTTTTTATTTTAACATATAAAGCTTTTAGAATTTTATTTCATCCAAAGAAATAACAAACTAATGGATTTTTCACATACTATACAACTGTAGAACCAGTAGTATGTGAGAAATCCTTTTTACATTAGATAACCTAATACTTGATATAAGAAATTAGAATGTCCAATATATAAAATTCTCGTGTCACGGTGTGCGTGGTTGAACTCCTCCGAAACGGCTCGCCCGATTTTCGTGAAATTTTGTGTGCATATCGGGTAGATCTGAGAATCGGCCAAACATCTATTTTCTTTGACAATTTTTTTTGAAATAATGTATAAGGCAAAACAAGGTTTGAAGGGTCAGCTAGTAATCATATAAAAATTTAAAACGCGAGATACGGAAAATGACTTATAGTACCTCCGGCTAAATGTCTTTTAATCATTCCAGGTGACAGTAGTCCTGAGCGTGGTGGCGCTAGCATCCGCTGGTGTGTTGTCTTTAGGACATGAGTACGCGGGTGACGGTTATGGACAGGAAGCTGTAGCGTACGCACCCGTCGAGCACTCATACGGCGGACACGAAGAGCAACATGTCGATTATCACGTGAGTATCTGAAAAGTTTGGTGAGTAGCCGCATAAGTGTAGTGCGGTGGTATGTAATACTCATAGATGTATCTATAAGCTTCGCTTTATCGATATCAACATATTTTTCTACACTTTACTTAGAAGAGCCGACCACTCAATGTGATATATTTATATTTATTTTTTATATTTGATTGGACACATATATTTACACATAGATTTAGAGAACTCTTATTGTGAAAGCATGTAAAAGCTCGAAAAAAAAAATTCATCTTATAGAGTGTTTATTGGTAAAAATTAGAGATAGTAGAAAAACAAAGTTAACACATAAGAAATGTACAGAAGAAAATTTATTTACATTTGAGTATAACTAAACAAATAAGCAAAACGGTTTAGAAGAATGTGTGGGCGGACTTGGAATAGATTTGTATGAAATTATCTAACAAAAAATGAGATTAAAACGCCTAGCAAATACAAACACAATTGTAAAAACTAACCTTGTACTAATGAGCATTATTCCCCGTTACTCGCATTAAGAGCATGTGCACACTATAAATGACGATGTTTTGAAACATTGCACGCGTATCGCCGACTGGAACATTCACATAATATAAAACTATACAATATTGGTCAAGGATACACAAACCGAGAAAAACGCATCTAAATATTGCAATCATCCACACATAACTTTGCGAGGACCTCACAAAAACATAACACGTTATTGTTCGTAATCAGAACCTCCCTATTTACTATTAGTCATATCGGTTACGTATAGCAAACAAACCTGTGATACTAAGTATACAATAAGTGGAGCAGCTGAGCTGGTTTGGTTTCCCGAGGCCTGCGTTACCTATTCAGTGTCGTAATACAATAGTAACAAGCTAATTGATAGCTTGCATAAACCGTGCGTTTTGTACACCGCTGCGCTGATCCAACACAATCGACGCTGTTTCCGGGATACGATACCTATCTGCGCTTGTACACAGTCCCACAGTCACCCAACTGTTATTACATCAACGCAAACAATTTTCTTACAAAATAGGGCCAAGTAAATAAATACAAGTAATTACTTACTATCGTCTTATGGTAATAATCGTAATCATCAAAATAGGCTACACAGGCGTAATAATATCGTCTGTGGTTTTTAATTAGTTTGTTTTATTCATACTTTTTATCCACTACTTTTACCTAAGTTATAAACATATCTATTATATTTGTTGAAATATTTTTAATCGATGTTGGTAACTCCTACAAGTTGCTTCAATCATTACGTTACACCAACTAAAATATTTACTTTTTCTATCATTTTGAATAATTAAGAATACGAGAGGGTAACTAAACTTTATGATACAATGATATCTGGTTTATAATTCTAAAAACTATATTTATAAAAATGCAATCTTTTTTAAGTTTTTGACTACATAAACTACTTTCACGTATAATTTATGAGTCACGAATTTTAATCTAGTGTATAATTGATATAATATGCCGCAATATACATTTAAATGTCGAATAATAAACTGTATGTAATCTGGAGTCTCAACACTATCATAAAGCGATTGCCTTTGGTAATGATTGGAAGTAATCCGCTTACGATTACATAAGAGCTTGCAAAGTCAAGTATATCCCGATCGTGACTACGGAGTTTATAACTTGCCAGTTCTCAGGGTAGTTGCAACATTCGCGCTTAAGTTGGGCCCCGGGGACATGATGATTGTCATGATATCCAGTCAAAATAGCCTCTTGTTTACATAAACTGCAGTGGCTCGTGCTCTCACGTTCATTTAATGGTAGACATGGAATCGGTCGATGTTGACCCAAATTCAAGATGTTACGCAAAACACCATTTGACAGTTTCAAGTATTGTTGTGTATCTGCAACAAAGATATATCTAGATCTCTCAGACTGATTTAGTACATGCATTCAGTTCACGCGCATAGATACGAGCAAGATACGTTCGCAATCGGATTTGAAAACAATTCGTGAGCATGTAAAGGGTATCGTGTTTGTTTATTGATGCATTTCTAGATTAGACTGATGCAAGTATAATAAAAATAGCTCAGAGGATTTGAAGCTTACAATAACTGTTTAACTTCTTGCTTTTAAATAGTCAGTAGGTCAATAAAAACGAATTAAAAAATAATTTAAATTAATTACCTTGTCTTTGAGAAAAAAAAATGAAAACATAAGTTTGAAAGTATTGTTTATATTTACAGTTACTTTTCTTTCCCCAGGCCCACCCCAAATACGATTATTCGTACTCTGTGTCTGACCCACACACTGGTGACCACAAGACCCAGCATGAGATCCGCGACGGAGACGTCGTGAAGGGTGAATACTCCTTGTTGCAACCCGACGGCTCCTTCAGGAAGGTGACCTACACCGCTGATGACCACAATGGGTAAGAAAACAAAAAGAACAAGCAATGAAACTTATGAGAGATCAAGTGGTATTTGAGTTTATACCATCGTTCATTAATAGCTAAACTGTCATGGTACATAGACTTCCTCTACAAAGACAGGTCAATATGTTTACCAGAAGCACATAGTTTTTTGTAACTATTTTTATCAAAACTAGTGATTTGGTAAAGAGTGGTGCCCACATTTATTTATATTTGTCTTAAGATCAATATAATGATTGCATATACTTCAAATCAATTATTTAACAATCCTCATGAATGAAAGACAAAAGACCGAAAATTTAATTTTAACGTTATTACTCCAATTTTTTGTCATTACAACAAATATGAAAGTGAAGTCGTCGTAAATTATCTAACGAAAATAATAAAATATGGCGTCAAAGTTGTTATTTCATAAGTTTTTCTACCGTATTATGAAGAATTTGTTTACCTCATTTACAAATGTACGTAAATGAAACAAAGGATTCATTGCGTGAATGTGCAATAAATATTATTTATATACTTCCGCTGTGAAGATGATAGATTATGTAAAATCAGACGTTCACGTAACATTCATGAATACAAACAATTCCAACTTTTAATGTGATTGACAGATGTTCTTCGATTGTCTTTTATATACATATATTTAGAACATATATTTATAAATATATTTAGAAGCCAGCTAGCAGAATTAAACTTTTGTATGATACTAGTAATGTAAGAGCTAAGTACGCGGTTCCTCTAATGGCAAGCAGACACCATTGACGATATTAATTTATCGATAGCAAAAAAAAATTGTGTTACGGTTTTCAACCGAGGTTCTGAATGATCACTGGTAACTGAGTTACTTTCTTAGTAACTTGTTTATCAGTAAGAAATTAACAGACAGTGATCAGTAAAATTGATAAATTACGTTGATAGTTCAACTTTGTAGCCGAACTCTACGTAACGTATGTAATTGTGTTTTTTTTTTGTTTCAGTTTTAACGCTGTTGTACACAACACCGCGCCGGTGCATCATGAGTACCATTAATAGCGGTGTCGTAGTCACTGTCTTTCATGTGATATTTATACTTAATACCTAATTTAGATAGTTTTTGGTCGATTACGACACCCTATGTTATAAGACTGCGGCGAAAATAAACTGTTACAAAATATTTTAGATGCGTTTTCTTTAGCATAACGTAATCCAAATTTAATATTGCTTTTTACGATGGACGTTTATTATACAACTCATGTGAAATTACTAAAGTAACTTACATTTATACCGAACAAGCAAAAGATTTGGGATCAATATCTTTGTTTTCTTTTTTCGCCTCTTAAAATTCTGTAAGTGTAATTCAGCATATTATAGCATACAAAATATAGACGAAATAGGGAATATTTTATAAAATACAAATACTTATATCGTCATATCAACTTACTAGCTGTGTTACTAACTATGGCTAGCGATATTAATAAATAATATTTAATTAAGCCCTGTAATAAAACAATTAACTTCAACTTTTGACTAATGTCTATGTGGTTCAATCATAATTTCGTCAACGATAAAACATACATTACGGCTATATTTAAAAACAAGATGAAAAAATAACTAAGAATATTCTTCGCTAAAGTGTTTGAATAAAATTCGGAACTTGCAGAGATCGAATATAATTTTACAATGTTGTTAACGAAAGATATGGTTTGTCAAATTTCTTATCATCAAATGCAATTGAGGATCATCGTCATCATCATTAACTTAGGCCTTAGGAAAAAAATTTAGGCCACCGCTGGACATAGGCCTCTCCTTAAAAAGGTGGTTTTGCCCTACTATACCACTCTTGCCAGACATGTTGGCATAGCGTTTGTGAAAAGTTTTCCTTCTCTTTGTAGTGCTGTAAGGATCAGAAGACAGATTTAGTGATTTATCAATAATAGTATTGGAAGAATTTAACAAATATCATATCATATCGATAAGGAAACAAACGAACAGAATTTCAAATTGCATAATATAAATTTAAAAATATCAATGAAATCCACTTCTTTTTCAACTATTCTTCTATCTTTATAGAATCTCCCTTGCGAAATAAATGTTTTGGGTATAAGCCAATTTGATTCAAAATATCAGCGTGTTGGCAAAATATAACAAATCGAAATTTTCATGATTTTTTTTAAGAGTACAGGAATATATTTAATTTTCAAATAAGAGATTTTTTTGTACAGTAAAAACGAAAACACATATCAGTTCAGTATCTTTTCCACTTTATTTATTTTTAAGTATCGACGAGTATTATATTTTCACTTACTTAACCATGGACGACTTATGTGCAACCACTATTAACTATTATTTATCTATCGACATAATATATGTGTGTAGATATTTACATAAACATGCCTTTGAGTTTTTATTTCAAATACAATAACAAGGGACTACTACTACTAACTACGCAGAACAACAGCACTACACAGAGAAGGAAAACTTGACACAAGCCCTATACCAACCCGTCTGGCCAGCGTGGTATGGTAGGCCAAAACCTCCTTTCTATGGAGAGGCTTATGTCCAGCAGTGGACTACTAAAGGCTGTTGATGACAATAACCTTGTTTTAATTAGTAATTCTTTGATAAACCTATTCCTGTCATATGTATATGATGCTTACGTATGGTCCAGCGAAACATGTCTTATTTTAAGACAGTTTTCCCATTACTCGACAGGGAATTTTACCATTTAGGGAACTGTTCGTTGACATAAGGTGGGCCGGAAATTTCTTCGTTACAGCATAATGATTTAAAATTCTTAATACACATACTTAGTTTTTTCTTTTTTTTTTTCTTTAAACAAGACAACTCCCGCATTAGGAATATATCATCATCATATCCTACATAAATTGTTGTTCTGAGTCTGAGTATTCTTTGTGTCCATTTCATGAATTTTTGTAAGTCCCTCGTGACACAGGACACTACTAAGTGTCCTGTAACAAAGGCAACCCTTGAACTAGCAGGGGTTGCCTTTGTTACTTTTAGGTATATCACGAGGAATTGGATGAATTTTCCACAGAAAGTTCGAGAAAGTTTCCACAGGTTAAAAAAAAATACTCACTCTCTTGGTGAAAAGCAACGAAAGAATTGTTTACCACCAGTTTTCTTTGAGGTCAAGGTATCACTCCCAGCCATTACGTGCCAAAGCCTGGTTCTCCCTTGGATTACAGGCACAAGTAGTCACGGAAAATCTAAATTCACATAGGTAGTTTTACAACCAGCACTTTATCTATCGTTTCGTTTCTGGATCGTATTGGTCAATTTAATATTAGAGAAGCCTGCCTCATACGAGTGTGTTATGACGGTATTATCTGTCGAAAGACGGTTGTATATTTTATCATCTGTTGAAGTTTTCCTACCTCGCTGAACCAGCAATATTTATACAGTCACCTTAGGACTTTCGTCTACAAATACTATATAAGTAAAACAAAAACTAAAATTTTTAAAAAAGATCTCGAATTAAATAATAATATGATAATCATTTTAAGTAAACGTTCATTACGTCAAGTTTGTAAAACAAAAGAACCTAAAATTTTCTTGTACATGAGAATACCGTTATTATTCTAAAGACTTAATAATTATGTAATAATCAACCGAAAACTTGCATTTTATGATCCAATGATACCAAAATGTCAACCTTATATTACACATTATTAGCTACAAGATAATTCTGCATTTGCAATTTTGTCATAGCTTTTAAAAACGCCATTACTAGAATCTAACTGTTAATTGTACCGTCAATAGAACAACATGCTTTACAAAACAACTTCTATTCATACTTGGGTGAAACCGTTGATAAAAATTATTACAACAATCAAAAATTCACAGCACGACGCAGAAGAACAACTATGTACTACAATTTGCTACACCGTATAAAATAATCGTAAGCTTCTTATTAACAATAAAATAGATGGAAATATTTAGTACATATATTACTATATAAATATATGTATATTGTCTAAACATACATTTTATGTTATTTAAATTACTTCAATAGTATTATCAAAAACGCCTGCAAAATCCTGCAAAATGAATATATATAAATACATTGCACGTGTGATGTATTGCTAAAACGTGTACATAGGCGCTAAATAGTTCAATCCAAGATCTTTTAGAGATACTGCAAATTACTTTGTTGAAATCCTTAAAATCGTACACTAAATTACTTAGATGAATTACATAACTAAAACTCAAATAGTATAAACAAAGAACATAATAATTACAATATTATAACAATGGTTGACACGGTTAGAAAAAGTATTAGTTTCATTGTCTCCTTTAAAAAGATAAAAATTGTTTAAATTATAACTAGACTCCAAGACACAATTCTAACCAAATGCTAATACTATTTTATTTTAAACGCACCAAAAAAATAGTTTATTCTTCTGCAGTAAAATTATTTTTTAATGCAGAAGAACAAACTATTTTTTTAGTGCGTTTCATTCTATAGAAAGCTTGTTGCAGCCGAGAAACCATTCATGTCACGACTGAAATCAATCCATCCATCCGGTAAACGGCATCCTGCTTATTGATCGACAACGGATTCTAAACTGTGATGGATCGTGATATAAAGGCCCAATTATTATCTCCAATCAAATAGTACCCGCAAACAAGCTCATCGAGAAATACTTGCATTTAAATTAGAGTTAGTGCTACATTTCTCAATCACGTGTTCATAAAATGAAGAAAACAGGAATGTAGTTTCCCGTAACATTACATCAACTGTTCTGAGACTGGACTATTTAGATAAGAACAAATGTCATGCCAAATTATATAGTTTTTGTACATCCACGTGTTTTGAATACTGGGAGACATAAATTCTAAAGTCTGCGTAAAATTTTCATTACCATATTAATTGTTTACTTCTATTCATCTAGTCTACGACATTGACGTTTTGTTTCGGTATTACCGAACTGAATATTTTAGGACCAACAAAGAACCTCTTATAAGAGGAGCAGCATTCACTAAAAATCGGTAGTCTTCCATGGATCTCGAGAAAAGATGATTGTAAAAGTAAGTTTTGAACTTTATATTTTACTTTCTTAATAAAAGAAAACTATATTTAAACTTCTTTGTTCCAGAAATTGATGAGTTTGATATTAGGCGTTAGTTTAATAAAAGCGGTTTCTGGAGCTTCTATTTCCAATGTGTTCGTAGAAAGGGAAACTTCACCGACAAGATATTATCCCTCTAGTCCACCATACGGCTACACGTCAGCGGCAAGCCCTTACTACTCTCAAATTAATGCATTGTCTGGGTCTGTGCCGGTATATACGGATCTGTGTGTGTCACCATGTGTTCCCGGACAGACTCACAACTCGCCCTATGCTACTATTCCGGTTATAGGATCTGCTAATGAGGTATGTTGAGTGTTAGTATTTTGTATTAATTTTAATTTTACTTAGGTAACATGTGACTATAGGGTAGCCTTTGGGCTTAGATACTATACTTGGTTAATTACCTCCAAGAGCACTACCGACGTCGCTAATATATTTATTGTATAATCATTACGCCTAGGTAGAAACAAAATGTGAAAAAAGGAAAACTGGAGACGTATACATAATTGCAACTTAATTGAGCCAGTTGATGCTAAAAAAATTGGCTGTAGACGACAGACGTAACCTTCCAAGTCCAAAATGATACCAAAAAAATACCACAAAAGAGATCTTTCCACTAATTTCATCAATTTGATTGTTTCCATTTTATCTAGGAAACAAATGGCTACCAGTATTCGTACATTGTGTACGATGAGAATACTGGTGATCATAAAGCGCAACGTGAGCTAAGTGATGGGGCAGTGGTCCGAGGAGAATACTCGTTCATTCAGCCCGATGGATACGTCCGAAAAGTTCAATATGTAGCTGATGATTTGAAAGGGTAATTACTATATTAATAATTGATTATATAATCTTATTGTTCCCATGGTTAGTGATCCTAACTGATCTGTTCGATTCCCGCTCAGGGTACAATAAATAAAAATATAATTATCAAGATCGTTTCTCTGACTGCACGGATGGCGTAGTGGTTTAAGCGCCTCACCGCTTCCTACTGCGCTGAGTGTTGTGGGGTCGATCCCCACATGGAACAATATTTCATGTGATTTATAAATTGTTGTTCTTTATGTCTGTTTCATGTGTGTTTGTAAAGTTTCCTTTACTATCCGTTCTTGTGACCATTGTTCAGGCTAGTCTCAATTAAAAAATTGTACATAGTCTAACTATTCCTTAATTTATAAAATTTCTAACTAGGTTTAACGCTGTAGTGAAAAATTATGTGCCAATTGCATTAGGCGATGCCAGCCAATATGAAATAAAACATAATAAGCATGTTCCACTCTGCCCTGACGAAAAAAAAGCATCTTTGAAGAACCCATCGGCTGAAGAATTGGGAGATCATTTAGAGAAATATACTCCTGAAGTAGAACAGCATGGACAGAAGCATAACAATAATGAACCTGGTCATGAACTTGAAATACCTTTTAGTCATAAACATAAACACCATCAAGAGCATAATGCTTCTGGAAAAAGTCATAAAGAAGAACTGGAATATAGTCAGGAACGCCTGAAAGAATTAAAAAAAATACTTGAAAAAGCTAGTGGTGAGTCCATAGAACATTTAGATGAAGAAAGCTCCAAAGAAAAACATAAAAAATCTAATAAACACCAAGAGAAATCTGAAGAGGTAAATCAAGGAAACTCAGATTACAGACATAAAAAAAGTTCTAGTGAAGAATCACACGATAAACATCAGGAAAAGAACAAGAAAACATCCAATGAACAATCTACAGAAGTGTTTGAAGATTCTGTTAATAACTCGCCAAAAAAAGAATCCAAAGAGGAATTTAGTGAATCTAGTGAAGACTCTAAGGAAGATTTGATAGAAACGTATGAAAAACCAAAGACAGAGTCTACAGTGACTCTTGGAAGCCACAAAATAAAAACTAAAAAGGTGTCCAAGGAAAAGTCAAGTGAGTCAGAATCAATTGAGGATTCTAAAGAAACTACAAATGTTCACATTAAACATAAAGAGGCGCATGATCTTGCAATGTCAGCAAATAAAGTGTTTGTGCCTTATTATGATGTTGTTCGGTGCTTACAAGCATCGCTGAGGAAATCAGAACGGGGCCCCGCTGCCCTAAGCGCAGCATCATCACCTCTTACTTATCTTGTGTTGAACAAACCGTGTTAAAATTGTAATTTTATTTAAAAGTCTAGTCGCTAACTAATTTTTTTTAACAGGTCATTTAAAATCTCTTATAAATTATGACTATTTGAAATTTGTTTAAAAATTAATAAATTCAATATGAAATTGTATTTTAATTTGTGCTTTATGATTGTGTGACTTTTTTCATAACTCACATGTCTGGTGTGATGTTAAGAAGTTACTGGTGACCTTTTTTTAATAGTATTTATTTATTTATTTTAAGTCACATACAAAAAAGTTCAAACTAGAATGTGGTTTGAACTTTTTTGTAGGGTACAGGTGCCACCTCTCATAGAGGCTTCTAATTATAGGAGAAATCTCATAAGACCTGAGTCCTTGCAAACCTTAAGTGCTTTATAAGAGAGATATTATTTTATTAAGAATATTAAATCTATGAATCAACTACTATTTTCAACACACTAATAGTGGTGCTCCTAATAAAGAGAAACATTGAATTCATTGATCGTTGTTGTTGTTGAAATGTTCTAAAAATACTTTTTTGGGCTTGGATTTACAAAATTTTATTTTTATTGCTGAGACTTCGTTAGTTTTAGTCTTACTAGAACATAATACATTTGAGAACAAGCTTTAAATATCCATAAACAAATTATGTTCGTTTTCATTTACTTAACAAGTGACCAGTGCATGTCTGTCACCATTCTCCGGACATTAGCGACACGTTTTCGAGCTTATTATATTAGCACACGACGTTAAGAAACTTTACACCAGTTTAGAGACCACTAATCATCATTCTCAGTTCTGTCGTGATATTATTATCTAAATTACACAATTCTGAGGTTGTCTAAATGAGAAAGATATTTAATAGAATATCACTTTAAATCAATATTCGTGTCTTAATCTTGTAAAGTTTTGTTCTCCAGTTTTAGGTCTGATAACCAAATACTATGTCGTGTAATATTTGCGATACGAAAAGTGCAAGTTTTGGGGACCATTGTCTGTTACCACTGAATACGGTGATATTAGTCAATACAGATGTTCTAACTGCAAAAATACTAAAGTCCTAAACTCATTAAATAAGGATTTTCAAGGTTTTCGTAAACCAATATCGTAGTATAACTTTCCATTTTTTATCCCGTCACCTATAGATTTTTTTCATATGAAGGAGCAGCAGTAGCTACTTAACTTTAACGTCACTGTATCGAATTTTATCTCTATATTTATATCCTAATATATAATCCCTAGACATGAGCTCCAATGTTATCCGTGCCTTATTAAAAAGGAGTCAAATTACTAAACTTAAGCAAACTTAACTAATGAGACGGTAAAATAGCTCTTGATAATAATTTTCGTGTTTATAGGTTAATTTTGAATGCTTCAAAAATAAATCAGATAGAATACCCTTTTTTTACGTGTGAAACCCCCTCGAGCCGTCACTCCACCGGGGCTTGCGGCAGGGCAGTGTGTCGAAAATAGTAAAAATACCCGGTGTGTGAAATAGGAAGGATCCGGGCACAGCTGTTATAAAGACATCCGAATCCCTCTGGTAATATACCGTACAGTACCCCGAACAAAACATAATACACGTGTTTGGCCGTTAGTAATGTTTAGCTCCGGGTTTGTATCATATTGATTATTTATTATTGTACACGGAAATTCAGCAATGAAACAACGGATTTTATCCGCTGTGAAACATAGTCCCAGATACACACCAGATAACTCGACGGAAGGATATTTGCGTAATTCTTAATCACGCTTCGCTGACAGGAAACATGTTACATTTCTGTCACTGACACCTACACACTCGTACTATGATGAAATTATCAATAGCGAAATTCCACAACTAGAATATAACAAGTACTCTAGTATTTAGATATAGGCACTGATGTTTGTACATACTATAATAGTGGCTTAATTAGATTACATAATTTATTAACAGCATTAGAAATTATATCAGCATCATTATCATCAGCCTTTGGTAGTCCACTGCTGGTCTACTGTCAAACTGGACGGTTATTGAAAAACTTAGCACATAGATAGTCTGAAATAGCATAATAATAAAGACTACTTTTTTTACTCGAAAAATGATTTAACTAAATTGAAATTATCAAATCGGCACAATTGGCAAGTTACGAGCATAAACACACTACTACTAACACTGAAAATAATTACTGGTCATTCGGCTTTACTCGAATTTTACTCTTTCTAATTTATCTCTAGTGTCGAAGGTTAGGACCATTTCACACTAAACATTATTGTCACTGATAATTTCAGTACATCAATCTCCTAGACTGTACATTCTTAACGTGTCTGTCTACCAGGCGTTTGATAAAGGCAATTTATAGTCACGGTCGTTGTAATCTGACATGACACGCATCAGATGCAGAAGTCCGTTTATTTGCATGGTTATTTCAACATTGTCACTCAAAGAAACCGTGTTAAATTAATTACATAAATAATCGACGGGCCAGTTGGTCTAGTGGTTAGTGAACCTGACTGCTAAGCCGCAGGTCGTGGGTTCGATTCCCACTCAGGGCAAATAATTGTGTGTATGATCACGATCATTTGTTCTGTGTCTGGGTGTAATTCATCTATAATATGTATGTATTTAGAAATATATAAGTACGTTTATCAGCAATCTGGTGCCGTATCATGGGCTCTGCCTAGTTTGGTATCAGACCGCCGTGTGTGAGATGTGTGACGTTATTATTATTACTCTAGATTACAGCCTAGGCTGAGCATATAATGCAGATCTCAAATAAAGCAGTGATGACGGGACACACACACTTCACTTCACACAACATCTGGGGGCACGATACCCCTTCGGCACTACCTACCTTTTCTCGAAGTGCTTTGTCGTTTTTTTTAAAACCTCATAACTTGAGTTTGGATTATACCAGATTAACAAAATTTTCGAAATATGATGTAACTAGTAAATTTATTAAACACTTCAAGTTTTAATAGTGATAATTTTATTGATATCTAAAAAAAACTAATTTCATCACTGACTCACTGATAATATCATCAAAATTCTTAGGATACTTTCTGAAGTCCTAGAATGCTGAAAATTGGTATGTAAGCTAGTATTAGTACACAAACAACAAAAATCTAAAACTTGGTACTTTTCCCACTAACTCCTTAAACTAGGGGATAGAAGTTTGTATGGACAACCGCAAATTTTGATGCCAGAGGTTTGAAAATTGATATGATAAGGACTTCTTGGCTAAGTATAATAGAAAATAAAGAATAAAATTATCACCTTATGCCCACGGCGAAACGGCAAAGCCACATATTTTGACTAAGGTGTAGAGTTTTTGAAATTAGGGCTTGTAGAGTTAGAAGCTTGGCTCTACATGAGATCTGATAACTTTTTGACAGTGCGAGCCATTATGGTCTCATCTTGGCAACATTTTGAAAAGGATTTTGGTGGGATACATTTGCTTAAGGATTTATATATGGAGCTCTGGCGTCCTTATCAGGCAAAGTTCGAAGAAAATTTAGAAAAAATTAAATGGAAAAGCGAAATGAAGTTATACTACAGATGGTGCAATAGTTAATGTTGTTGCCTCGTCTCTATACCGAATATTTGGGGATTCGATGTCAACCACAAACAGTAGACCCGTGCTGGGTTATCCTTGTATCCATTGTTTGAATGTTCAATTTAAGGATCCCTGTGACACAAAACCTATTGAAAGAGTCTTTTCCACTAGGTAACAAAAATAATACTTTATGTATACCCACAATATAGTAAATAATAGTTGAAAACTAAAAATATGTAAATCTTACTAATTATATTATGATAAACTATGTATTGTTTATACTTTTGACCATAGATTAATAACTTATCTTTAATATTTACATATTTTATGGTTTTTTTTACAATTGGGTCTCTATCTAAAATGCCTATTATACCAGGGCAATAAAAGGACTTTTTCTGCCCTTACGAGTGATCCCGATGTTTTAATAACAGCTCTTCCCGGATGCCTCATATTTCATGTGCAGAGTGGCCCACAGTGCGGTTTTAGTCAGTTCGATTTCAAGACACCGCGCCCGAGAGGATTACAACAGCATCAACATAGGTAAAAAAGTATACAATACAATTACATGTTGCTATAATCGCAATTTTTGTTAATGAAAATTGCATACCAATAGTCGGGTATAATTAATTACAGGTTAGCTAAATTCGAGTCAAATGTCGCTGTTAGTCAATCGATCGATATCTTGTCATGCCTTTTAAGTCTACTCTAATTTAGATCGATTATAATCATCTCATTTCTTTTGTTAGCAAATACTTTATACTGAATATGTCTACGACCTTGAAATGTTTAGAAATGATAAAATATATTACAAGCCGTATTAGAAACGTTCATGGTCTAATTACATATCAGAATTTGTATTAATTTGTATGTAATGTTTGTTATAATGTGGCTGCAATATAGTCTTTAATAGTATCACAAACAAGCGAGCGAGCATTGTACGCAATCACGGCTCACGACAATTAGAACGTTTTAATTTCATAAATTGCAATGAACTGGCTTTTAAATAAATTTATACATAATTTTTAATGTTTATTTGGCTTTATACTTATTTGCTACAGTTGTTTATATCTATATTCAAGTTTAACAAACTCCGCGAATTACGGAACATATTGTAATATACCTATTATACGTGCTAAAATATGCAATAAATAAAGAAATACCTAGTATTTTCTCTAGTTTCAGAAGCAAATTAATAAAATACTAGTAAATTATTTATTTTTGTAAGTTGCTTAAGAATGCCGGAGATTTATACATTTATTTTAATTTACCTTGTTTTTTATTGTTAGTATTTTGTTAATATAAGTTAACATGGAACTCATTAATGTTAAAATGACTGTAATCGGAATTGTGATTAGCGCAACATTGCTATTAAACAATTAAAAGTCGAATAAAAATATTAACGGCATTTCAAGACTTAGCAGTGCCTTTGTCCAGTTGGGGATGTTTTTTTCAGTTATTGGTATCCCTACTGTACTGGTACTGGATCGT